GTTTGTCGAAGACCTCCTTTTTAGAACATTCCTCGGGGTGGGCAAGTGTGAAGATAAATCCCTCGCAATGAAGACCTTATAGCCAAGTGGGAAAACATGGAGACAAGAACACCACGACGAGCGCACCAGACCAGAAGACGAACACAAAAGCTTGAGCATAATAGAGAACTCCAACGGCGCAGAAAACCCATCATGTTTAAGGCCATGAGGCTAGATGGTCACATGTTTCGACCACCTCTAGGGGTGGGCATGTGTTCAAAAATTTAAAAACCCATCTTGTTTAAGGCCACGAGGCTGGGTGGTCACATGTCTCGACCACCTCCAGGGGAGGGCATGTGTTCGAAAATCTAAAACCCATCAAAGTGTATGTGTGTATGTTAGGACTAAATCATTCAAGTGATCGTGAGGCAAACATAAAAACATTATCTAAATAACGAAGAAGGGGCCGACTAATGGAAGCGTGTTACTCATACGTCAAAAAGCACATCAATCACACTCTGAAGCGCATCAAGGAGCTATGACAAAGGCAGTAAGTCTAATTATTAAGAGCATCATCGAAGAACAAGGCAAGTCGAAAAACAAAATATCACCATTCCACAAACATAGCAAAGTTCATCGGAGTACATAATTCAGATTCAAAACAGACAAACTAGAAAATATAAAGCTAAAACTAAGGAGGAAGAGTTGCGGTCGAATCGGCGTTGCTCTAATTAGCTTTGGGATCGGGCGGATGGCTGGTCCCGGAGGTTGAGTCGCAAGCTTCATTAAGTGGACGCTAGCGGATGGACTCGGTCAACACGACCAACATCGAGGCTGGGGGAGTTAGACCATCAGGCAGAGCATAAGTTTTCTTCAGGATATCTGATCGAGCCAGAGTCCTTTCAAGCAGCCCCGACCACCACTCATGCTCAGAGGGTAGGTTAGGATCGCCCTGGAAGCTAGAAGGAACCTTGGGCAAGGCCTCCCAGGTAGCCCCAGGGTCAAGCTGCTCGAAATCGTCCTCTGCGATCTGCTCGCCGGCCTTCTGAAGGGCAAACTGGAAGCAGTCTACTCCAAAATCTTGCACATCCTTCAAATATTGTGGTGACCGCGTGAAATCGGCCACCACTTGCTCACGGTACTCTCGGAGAAAGAGATGCCCAGTAGTGGTGCCCCACATCATCTGCCGAGACCGAAGAGCAGCGGCATCAGCGTAGAGTTTGCATTGGCTGGCGTGGGCAGCCCTTTCTTTGGCTAGGCTAGCCTCCAGCTCAACTCGAGCAACCTTTGCATGCACCCGAGCAGCCTCTGACTGCGCTCGAGCAGCCTTTGCTTGTGTTCGAGCAGTCCGCTCTTGCTCGAGCGCAGTCTCCTTCTCCTTCAGCGCATTTTCTTTTTCCGCCACCACAATCTCCTTAGCCGCGAGGGCGGCCTCTCTCTCCGCGAAAGCCTTGTTCTTCCTAGCGAGATCCTCATCAAGAGACCTAACCTTGACTTCGAGCTCGGCCTTCTGTTCTGTTTGGATCTCGCCGAGTTTGGCATTATGCTGCACAAGGGTCGAGTTTTTATCCTGCAGGTAGCCGATGGTGCCCTCGAGGCCCTTTATCGACTTACCCGAGCTGTCTCGGGCCTCCTTGGCCAAGGGCAAAAAGTCAACCAGGCCCTATCAACAAAGATGGTAAGGTAATTCAGCGTATGTATCGACAAAGAAAAATGAGAAGAACCAATGTAGAGTTAGAGAAGAGTAATACCTGAGCAAGCCACCACACGAGTTCATCGCCAACCTCGGGCAGCGTGACGCTGGCCTTTTTGCAATCGTCCTCGAGGAGGGCACCCTCGAGACGGTCGGCCACCTCATTAACGGAGGCCGACAAGAGAGACATCGATTTCGGGGCTAACGGATCAGGCCACTGATGGCTCATACGCCCTCGTTTCCAGACCACCTCACCTTGGTCGGTACGAGGACGCTTGCCCAGGGTAACTTTCTGTCCTCCATCGTCTGGATTGTG